AAATATTACTTTTAGCAAAAAAGACCCTTTCTTAGTTTTAATTTGCATTTCCCTCCATCTCATGGCAGGCAGAATATCTATCATCAAGACAACAATTGAGACCAAATACTGAGGATGTGGGGAAGGGGAATCCTTCTTCACTCCTGCAGGGAATGTAAACTGGTGCAGCCATTACAGAAATCAATGTGGAAGTCTGTCAAATAAAAAACAAAACTACCATATGATCCAACTATACCCGCCTGGGCATGTACCCAAAGGATGCTACATCCTACCACTGAGATACTTGTATATCCATGTTTACTGTTAGCTCTCTTCGCAATAGCAAAAAAAATGGAACTAAGCTGGATGTCCATCAACAGATGAACAGATAATGAAAATATGGAAAACAGGGCTGGAGAGATGGCTCAGTGGTTAAGAGCACTGGCTGTTCTTACAGAAGACCCGGGTTCAAATTCCAGCACTCACATGGCAGCTAACAGCCGTCAGTAACTCCAGTTCCAGGGGATCCAACACCCTCTTCCGGCCTCTGTGGGCATTGCACATCACAGGTACACTTACATGCACACAGGCAACACACTCATACACAAAAAATACAAATAATAAAGAAAATGTAAAAAGAAAATGTGGGACATGTACACAATGGGATTCTATTCAGCACTAAAGAAAAGTGAAGTTATGAAATTTGCAGGAAAGTGGGTAGAACTGGAAAACAGTAAATAAGGTGAGGTAACTCCGGCTCAGATAGACAAACAGTCATGTTGTCTGTCACATGTGGATCCTATTTTGCCATTTCTATATTTGTGCATTTATGTAGGAGTCAATGTGGGTACAGAGCAAGAAACTAGAGAGAGGCCCATGACATGGGAACAAGGGAGACGGTAGGGGAGGGAAATGAGGAGTGTGATAAGGAAGTGGAAGGGGGAATTCTGGGATGGAAAAGTATGAAAAGAGATGCTGGGGAATTAGGGAGATAAGCCGAAGGATGGGGGAGAGAGGAGAGTCAACCAAACTAAGTGCTTAAGTACTTACAAGCATGTCATAAGGAAACCTATCACTTTGCATGCAAATTAAAAAATAAAAATTAAATTAATTTTAAAAAGACCTTTTCGTTTACCCATTACCTTTCACTGCTGTTTTATGTATTCTTGGACTATTGAAAATTGTTTTATGAAGGAGGATCTCTCCCACCACTAAAAAGCCCTAATAAAGTCAGTTGGCAAAATAAACAATAGTCATATTATGTTTATTCTATATTAAAGGCTTTTAAAATGCCCAATATATGTAACTTCAAGTCTAAATATCACTGTGAAAATCTTTGTCTTATCAGCGGTCTTTATTTGTAATATGCCAGCCTGGGGTTTTTAAGTTTCTCCTCACTGTTTACCATTTCATCACTTGCCCTCTGTAAAGAGGGCAGAAGGACCAACGGATGAATCCTATGCTCAGTGTAACTAGTATCTAGGTAACTACATGTCCTATATAAACAGGGACTCCATTCTCTTTATAAGAATTTACTACCTGGGGCTGGTTCAGAAGATACCTGCCAGACCAGTGTGAGGAGCAGAGTTCTCATACCCCAGTCCCAAGAAAATGCTGGGTGAGGGTGGCAGTGTGCCTATGAGTCCAGCCTTGGAAGGTGGAGACAGGGGATCTCCAGAGCAAACTGGCTGGTGAGACTAGCTGTATTGATGAGCTCTGAGTTTGACTGAGAGACCCTGCCTCATTGAATGTGGAGGTTGATTGTAGACATTAACCTCAGGCCTCCATATGCACACACACCTCCACACACAGGTGTCCACACATCTGCCAATGTGTATACACGAACACATGCACAGCACACATATGAAAATGGAAAAATATAATTTGCTGCATGTAGTTTTAAAGCTTAGGAAAGTTATAGTAACTGATGGGTTTCAATTCTGCCAAGAATGTAGAAGAGAGGCATTTTATTGCAATTTAACACAGATGATGAGGGAGGAGAAACCAGAAACAGACCCCAAGGAGACTCTCGTTGTTTTTAATGGAGTCAGTGCTTTCCTATGTGACAGCCCAACAGTGAGGAAGAAGAGTGAGTCAGAGCAAGTCTATGGAATGTAGCAGGTTGATACTAGTCCTATATTGTACCTGAAGTCAGAGGGGCCCATTGTCAAGGTCCCCCAGAAAGCACAGCTGTCACAGACTTCTCAAGGGACTATGTCCACCTTCGCAGAGATATGTCCACAAATAACTCTACCATGGCTTGTGCGAAGTCTGCTAGTCCACCTAGCCTCAGCAAAGGCCTTTCACCTACAGAACAAGGAGTATACATACTTCATCACAGAGTGATCTTTGGAAGCTGGATATCTGAATTTTATCAGCTGAAGATTATCTGTTAGGTTGGGACAAAAATCTGCCTTTGCCAATCCACAGTAAATTCAGCCCTGCAGGGAAACTACAGTTTTACACCAGGTGTCAGGTGCAACAAAACACAGCAACTCAAAAGTCTCAGCCTGCATGTATGTGATGTTGGTGGCTCTTCTTTTCTGAATCTTTTTACTTTTCTCATCGTCTACCCTCAGACCATATTTTACTGCCACTCAAGGCCTAGACACCTGGAGCCTGCCCTTGCCTCACTCTGAACACGACCCTGCGAAGGATGCACTCTTCCCAGTGCAGTATCAGCTTCTCTCCTTGTGGGTAACATAGCCATGGTGCTATGTCGTCATATCCATGGTGCTATGTCATAGTCATGGTGCTATGTCATATCCATGGTGCTATGTCAACTTGGGGCAATCAAAGCCACTGGGTTACCAAGGTATGTGTTTGAGAACAGTTATGTCTTCCAGAGATGCAGGAGGAAATTCCTTCATCCCTCAGTACTCCCATGGTGTTTTAGAAGAGGGTAAAAGCACTATACCTATTTCCTCTTTTGTTGTCAGTCATCAGAGAAATTAGTAGAGAGGAGACAGACCCAAAGGCCACCTAGGATTATTTCAAATCTAACACAGAGGCCCTGACAATACATCATCTGAGTTCCTAAACCCTGCACACAGATCCAGAGCCTGGTAGTTAATAGACTCCAACACGTTTCTAGCCACATCCTTTTTTCCCATAACACCCCATCACAAGATGAAATAGCTCTCTAGAATTCTAAAATACTTCTTCACGTGGACACCACACTAGCTAAAATTGAGGTCAGTATGATTGGTGATCTATACTGCCTTCTTCCAAATGAATTCGTGACCAAAAGAAAAACTTTATCATAGCTTCTGAACCAAGATCTGAGAGATTAAAATATAACATTGTGTGAGAGTAAATGCATGTTCATATGTGTACATATGCAGCTGTGTGCACAGGCAGGTATCCATGCAAGTGTTTGTGTGTGGGTATGAAGGTTGGAGAACAACAAATTGGCTGTTTCTCCTTAGGTGCTGACCACCTTGTTGCTCATGGCCTGGAGCTTGCCTAGTAGCTAACCCTGCTGGCCAGGGAGCCCCAGGGATCCATCCATCTCTGCCTCTCCAGCACTGGGATTATAATCACACACCATCACTAGGCTTGCTTCTGTTTCATTTGTTCTGTTTTACATGCGTTCAGGGAATCAAATTCAAGTTCTCATGCTTGCATGGCAAGAACTTCACCAACCGAGCTGTCTCCTCACCCCTAAAAGATAACTTTTTAATAAACAGTAGCAGACAAAGATGGGACAGTTCAACATACAAATGAGACTCTGCTGCAGGATACAGCAAAACAGACAGTGCAAGTCCCTCGCACATACTGGAGACTTTCCCGCAGCTGCAGAATAGTCAAATGGTCTCCTTAAAAAACATAACTTAAAACCCTTTTGGTTTTTACCTCTTTCTATAAGAGGTCCTGAACAAAACAGCATTCAAACAATATAAAATGCTGCTGCTATCGGTTCCTCTAACTCCTCTCCACAGACTTTACATCAGTCACGAAATAAACTTAAGAACAAATAGCCAGCCACAGAGCAGAACAATTCTTTCTCCAATCAGGCAAAAAGCAGCCACAGGATTAATATTCTGAAGGTATTTGTGACCGTCACTCATCGTCCGCAAGGATTGAGGGGTCTCATCAGAGCTTATAAAAAATGGAACATATTACATCCATGTCCTGTACATATATCTGTACATACCGCACATATGTGTACATGTATTCAGCATAGCAATCAGATCACAGAGCAGGCATTCAGGGAGAACTCCAACAGGGAGCAGGTGCTCTTAGCTGTGACCTACTTACAGAAGGCAGAGTCTCCCAGCCAGGCGTCTTCAGCATGACAATTAGCAGTTTCCCCTGCAGTTTGGTCAGCAGGAATGACACAGAATTCTGCCTAGGCAAGTCCCTCAGCCCTGCTGGGCGCCTGCTGCTGTCTGGGTAATGGCATTCCGTTAGGAGTGTGACACAGTAGGGAAAGAGACCGGTTCACTGTGAGACCTAGTACTTACTCTCTTACAGTGCATCGGCCCCCCTTCCCACTGCACAGTGGCTGCCAGGCTCTGGGCGGGAGGTATGTGGCCATCGTGACAGTGAACCACGGAGTCAGAATTCCACCCAGACACGCTGCGTGATAAGGAACCTTCTTCTAAAGCCAACGCTGGATTTCAGGATGGTATCAAACACCTAATTTGGTTCCTTAGCCTTAGGAAACCAGAGGAGGTACTCTCTTTAAACCAAAAAGGAAACAAAACTGCATGGACTGAAAAGATAGGAATGCGGTTGTCTCTTTGTTTAAAATAAACTCAGGATGTCAAAATAGCTTGCCAAGATTATGCATGCATGCATGCCCAGGATGCCAGGCGAGTGTGGTTCACCTCCTTTTTGTTTGTGCCTGTTAACTTTTCCACACAGATCTATCAATTGCTTTTGTTAGCGTCTCTGGGTACTAGGAAAATGCTGACTTAAGTTGTTCCTCTCCTGTACTCATCCAATGAGTATATCTATGACATATACTATCAAAAGTAATCAGGCTAGAGGACAAAACAGAAACAGATTCCAAGTACCTGCTTGTTGTGCTGTCTGTGGGGTTTGCTGACTCCTCTGAGCACTGTACTGGACGGAGGCCAGGGGCCGGTACTGCTGCGTGGTTGAGGTAGGGTACTGACCAGATGGGTAGTAATAGACAGACATCTGTGGAACATGTAGAGAGAAAGGCAGGATGAGAACTGTGCACAGCAGTCTTCACACAGGCCTCACCGTTACCATATGATGTCATTAGAGTGTGTCAGGTGTTAAAGGTGGGCCGCTTGGATGTTCTCTCACACCCATTTCAATGTGCAGGCTCTTCCTGTCATGATAGGAAAAATCTATTCTCCATATTCTGCGAGGTGAAGGGCCTTTGTGACGTGCTTTGATCAATGCCGTGAAGCAGAAGTGCTTTGTGGGGTTTGTCAGCCTGAGCTATATGGAGACTTGCATCTCCAGCTCCCACAGGAAAGGACTCAGCTACAAGGGAAACTTCTAGTTACCCTGCTGCAGAAAGGCCAGATGCAGACCAGAGGCTCGCCAGCTGACTGGCCACCCTGAACTTCAGCTCAATACAACGTGTCTCAGCTGCCCCAGCCAGTACCACATGGAACAGAGAGGAGCCACTTTCAAGGGGTTCTGAACCACTGATGCTGTGTCATGAGTAACAAAAGGCCACTTGTATAGCAAAGTCCTTCGAAGAGTGATTTACGCACAGTCTATGTAAGAAATGTATATTCAATATGAATATGGCAAATAGTGTTTAAATGGCATCTGTAGACTTCTTTTCGGTAATGGGAATTGAGCGTAATGCCTCATGCTTGCTAGGAAAGCACCCTATCACCTAGCTACATCTCCAGGCATCATGCACATATATATGTCGGGGGGACAAATTTGCATGTATGTTGCATGCATGTCGGTCAGAGGCCAGCCTTGGGTGTCATTCCTCAGGAACAGTCCACTTTGTTTTTAGAAACGGGCTCTCTCACTGGCCTGGAGCTCACCATATTTAGCTAGGCTGGCTGGCCAAAATGACCCAGGGAGCCATGTGGGGATTACAATCGCACACTTCCATGTCAAGCTTTTGTTGTGGGTTCTAAGGAACTATTTCAGGACCCCATGTTTGTAAAGCAAGCACTGTACTGCTTGAATTATCTCCCCAGTCATTCCCAGGTATCATCTTATTTTTTATTTTGAGATAGAGTCTTACTAATTTGCCTAGGCTGGCCTTGAATTCACAATCTTCCTGCCTCAATCTCCTGAGTAGCAGGGAGTTACAAGTGTGCACCCCTAGGCCTGACCACCTTCTTTATACCATCTAACAACTGAGAATCAAAGAAAACAGGCTGATCCATCCACTGAGATCACGTGTTTTCTGGTCTAGAAGATTTCTTTGCCTGCCTCGGGTCATTGTATGAATGCTATTTTCTTATTGATTTTGGTTAATTACTTTCCATCTTCGGGCCTCTGGCTTGTCCCTTATCATCTTCTTTATGTGAGAACAGAGATCACCCAGTAGACAGATTACAAATTTTGCACATGTAAAGTGAGATGATGAACCGATTATTTCCAGAGCTCTGATTTTATGGCTATTTTATTTGTTTATTTTCTAATGTCAAATAGCATATATGTCTTCAATCTTGCTCCTGAAATGTATCACATAGATTTTTCCTTCAGGATAAATAGAAACAAAAGATAACATGCTGTGTGTGGTTCTGTGGTCTTCAAACAGCCCAGAATCATTCTGAATTTTATTCTGACCAACAGTATGGACACCCAAGGGTAGGGATCTAAATGTGTCTAAAACTACACTGCATCAGTGATCTGCAACTAATTTGCTACATGTATGTATGGTTTGTGCTGATTTAACCGTGTGTGTGTGTGTGTGTGTGTGTGTGTGTGTGTGTGTGTGTAGGAATGTGCATGTCATGGCATAGGTGTGGCGGTCAGAGGTCAAGTTGTTAGGCTTCCTTTTCTTCTACCATGTGAGTTCCCAAGACCTAACTCAGGTTGCCAGGCTTTCAGCAAGCACCTTTACCCTCTGAGCCATCTCACCAGCCCAAGCTATCCATTCTGCATCTGTCCCTTTAACATTCAGTACTAAAAAAACACCTTCCAGGATGAAGGATGGAGCTCAAATACTTGGAAATTTACGATTTAGAAAGCATATCGAATTTCCTGTGTATTTATTTAGAAGGTACTCTTTTTGTTACTTAGGTTCTTTTTTCTTCCTGTACCTAGTCAGAAGTTCGGACACCTCTGCACAGCATCTCTCCATGGAAGAGCATTGCTTAGTTCTTAGGAATCATGGCCTCAAGCAATAAGAAGCTAGTGGGAACTTGGCCTATCCTGATCCTCTGATCCTCCTTCCAAGGGAAAGAAAGAGAACTGATTTCTCTTTTCAAAAAAGACCATGATGACAGAGTTCAAGGGGAAAGGGGAGGGAGAAAGGAGAAAAGACAGTCTAAAAAGAAGACACATTTCCAACCAAGCATGTTAAAATGTGGAGAATCCAAAAATGGTTGAAGTAGGATAAGAAAGAAATATAGAAAGAAGAGATAACCGATAAGGATTTCTTCTCTGGAGACCCTTCCTGGAGCTGCTCTTTGAGTCTCATGCCTCTCTTCTTTTCTTTTTCTAGTGGACACTGAGAGAACACACACAAGTCAGAGGATGTGGACTTCCAAAGGTTGTTTTCAGCAGAAATAGAGCATGTTTCTACAGACATCCATAGACCGAGTCTTGATTGAATTCTACTCAGCGTTGCACAGTTTGGTAGTGAGACTTTAAAATGTTCACTACATCAGAAGTCACTATGGGTTGTGATCACCACCTGTATCTATGGTTCCATTTATCTCCAACAATTTAGCTTGAACTATTTAATTTATTAGTAAAATAATTAATTTATTACTGAAACCCTTTCATCTGTTACTTAAAAATGATTTTTCATATCTCCTTAAATCCCACTAGGGAAGAAATATTATCGAGATGGTGACTGGAGGTGAGCTATTAATTAATCACTCAAAACGAACAACTGAGTAAAATTCATTTCATGGTAGAGAGTTTTGTGTGGCTTGAAGAGAAAATAATTTATTCAAGATGTTAAAGCAGTGGGAAAAAAAGGGTACCATAGTGACATGCACTTTAAACAGCACCTCCCAGGCAATATTTCATAATTAGGAAGGGATCTGGTTGGGATATGCGTGCCTCGAAAATGGACCAGAAAATGCCTGTGTGCATTTTACATCTTGACAGTAATCACTTCCAATATTCTGCAAGGGATACCCAAGAGAGCACCAGAGATGCTTGGTGCTGAGGAGGAACATATAATCAGTCTTTGAGAAGACAGTGAAAATCAGTGATCTGTGGTGTCTTACATGCTCCAGTCAATTAAATATGATTAATGACTACCTGTGAGAGCGAGTATGGGCTCTGCCTCTTGTGGGGGAGGGGAAAGGACAGTGGATATTGTCCTCCCTTCCTCCTTTATATTCACAGAGCCTGCCTGGAGATTAGCTCCAGAAAGTAGCTGTGAACTATTAGAAGGAAAACCACATTTCTTGAGCAGCAGCCAGAGAGTTCAAAGCTTCCTGGGTGCAGGACAGAGCTACACTTTTCCTGGCCACTCTCACATTCAGGACATCTCAAGGGAGTTAATAATTTGTGTGTGTGTGTGTGTGTGTGTGTGTGTGTAAGTCTGAGGTCAACCTCGAGTATCATTCTTCAGAAACCATCTGCCTTTTTTTTTTGAGACAGGGTATCTTGATGGCCTGGCTGATTAGGCTAGATGACCTGGCCAGTAAATCCCAGGAATCCATTTGTCTTTGCCTCCCCAACTCTGGGATCATAAGTATATGCCAGCATGTGTGGATTCTGGGGCTCAAACTCAGGTCCTCATGCTTGTGCAGCAAGCATTATAAACCAACTGAGTCATCTCCCCTGAGCCAAATCATTTCTACAGCCTCTAAACCGGCAGTGTAGAAGATGGTCATGGTTGAACCATGGATGAGGGTCACTGGATTCAACTGCTGAGCCCCAGGATATGACAAAACACCCTGGAGGTGGAGAACAGTAGTATTAGTGGGTATGGAAGGATGGGACAAGTGTCAGAGGTGAAATAATCGCATGCCATCTGTGGTGCAGTAGGGGGTGGAAAGCACAGACCTACCTGTGTAGGTGGAGGCTGCTGTACAAATCCCTGGGGAGAGGGCGGGGCCTGCAGGACTTGCTGGGAGATGGGAGGACCAGAGTCTGAGAAGCCCCCTGTGGAGAGCTGCTGACCTGCAGTTGCGATGACATAGCTCGGCTGCTGGGCTGGTTGTGGCATGAGAGAGGCCTGGTAGACAGCACCAGAGGGAGGCTCCGGAGTATCTCCGGAGGACTGCCGGCTCACACTCAGCTGGCTGAACTGTGCGGCCACCTCTTCTCTCTGTGATCCAAGGAAATCAATGAAAAGCTGATAAAGATCAGCTTGGCAATGAGAAAGACCCACTGAGGTAGACACACACTCCCACTTTGGAATACTGGGAAGAGGGATGAAGGATAAATTGGAAAAAAAAATGTAAAAGAATTCTTCAGCCAGATAGAACAAGAGAACTTCACATGTGAAATCAGGCTTTGTTCAGTCTGGGATTCCAGAGCTGGTAAGCAATTTGACCCAAATCTCCTTCTTTGAAATGGACGGGGAAATTATTCCTTTATCACTGAAGGCCCAGGATCAGGGGGCGGCAGGGGGTGCAGAAAAGGAAGGTTGGGTTGTCAGCTGGTCTGCCAGCAGTAAGCCTGGATCTGCCTGCTGGACAGCCAGCTCCCTGCTCTTGTTGCCACCTGGATGGGATTCACACGCTTACATTAGAAAGAACTGGCTCACTGGGCTTGCTAGATCTTTATGGACAATGAACTGTGTCCAGGAGGCCCTACTGTAGTCAGGGAAACATGGAAAGGAACCCCAGAGACTAGATTCCTGGGGTACATCAACACCAGGAGCCTAGGGTGTTAACAGTTTGCATCCTAATTCAGATTTTGAGATACTCCCTAAACCCTCACACCAAATTCATATATCTCTCTGTTCAAGACTTCTAAATCTGATGACACTTGATTATTGCTTAGCTAGAAAACTTGGTGTGTGTGTGTGTGTGTATGTTGTGTGTGTGTGTGTGTGTGTACCTGTTTTTTATTGTTATTTTTTTTTTTTTTTTGAGACAGGGTCCCTCTGTAGCCCTAGCTTACCTGGAACTTGCTATGTAGACTAGGCTGTCCTGCCTCTGCCTCTGCTTTGAATGCTTGGATTAAAGGTGTGTGCCATCATACCTGGCTTTCCAGCTTATTTTTTGAGACAGGCTCTCTCAAGTCACCTGGAGTACACCAATTTGGCTAGACTGGCTGGCCACGAAGCCCAAGGGATCCTCCTGTCTCTGCTTCCCAGTTCTTGGGTATTCTTACCATTATGCCCAGCTTTTTACATGGGGTTGGGGATATGAACTCAGTTCCTCATGCTCACACTTGTAAGCATTTTATGAACTGATTCATTTCCCTATCCCCTTAGCTAGTAAACTGTAAAACAGGTACCAGAATGCAGATCCATTTGACTTAGGGCAGCAGATGAAGAAAAGAAGCAAGCAGCACACTCTGCAGTGATGATTGCATCAGTTAGAGATGAGATACTCTCAAACACATAGCTACCTCACAGTCGGCCAGAGCTGCACAGGAAAATTGCAAAGCCTGTGAAAATGCTCTCTCTCTTTCTCTCTCTCTCTCTTTCTCTCTCTCTCTTTCTCTCTGTATGTGTGTTGAGGGGGGTGAAGTGTCATATGCATATGATACAGTACCATGGGGAAGTGCTGCGTTGGAGACACAGGCAGGAGATGCTGGGGAGGAAAAGAGACGGCTGGATATTGCACAGACTGGGAGGACGGCTGTAAGCCCTGGACAGACTGGATGGGAAAAAATAGAAAACACTGATCAGGTAACAGGAAACTGTTGGAGTAGAAATTCCAAGGGAAGCACAATGCTATCTCTAAAAGGTCCCCTAAGCTCATCAGTGCAGGGGAAAATCAGTCACCAAGGCAAGTCTTGTGTCAGAGCCAGATAGCCTTGGATACATTTACTACTCAAGGACTAAGAAGTAAAAACAAACTGAAAGAGGCTCATTCTGGGAGTCTACTTAGAACACACCAGGTTCTATGGGCATGCCAACATGCTCCCCTAGGAAAGGAGTTCAGCTCTGCGTTTTTCTCAGGAGCCTTGTGATGAGCATCCAGGTCACTTAGGACTTGACTGATTTCTGTTCTTCCCATTGGTGGAGAGCTCAGTACTGATCCCCTAGGTATGAGCATCTGATCTGTGGTGGATAAGGATAGGCTGAAACAAGGGCCTGGAAGAAAATCTAAGTTGTCACCAAGGCAGATGTTTCTTATACATCCAAGAGCCTCCAGAGCTAAGAATGTATGAATTGATTTTCCCTAGTGCCTGTCCTCACCCAGTAGATACTTGTGATGGATATGAGCAGATGCCATTCTATCAAACGATGGTTCTAACTGGAAGGTTTTACCTAAAAGCCTGAAGGGTAGCATGGCACTACAGAAGACATCCCTTCACCTAGCTGTACTGCTGACCTATACAGCCCTCATCTCTTTCCATTCCTCCTTCCAGCCTGCTCCTCACCTGAGCGACCAGTGGGCCTGCCATCTGGGGTTGTGGTGGCTGGACCTGATGCTGAGGCTGAGGCGATGGCTGTTGCGGTGGGGGCTGCTGGGGCTGCCCCCCAACGGTGCCACGCAGGGTCTGCTGACTGCCGGGGGGGTTGTATATTGCGGGGGTTCCATCCGGATTCACAAAGGGCTGGCCTGAAATGAAATCATACAGAGCCTGGTTCAGGTGAGTGTCTCAATGTTTCCCCTGCACAAGGAACCAGTGTGGTCGAGTCTCTGAAGCAGGGGGAATCCAAGACTGCAGATCCTTCTAAGAGGACAAATGTTATTGTTTGTGGCCTAGGCTACTTTAAGCTGGATGACAGTGCAAGTGTATAGCAATTTAAAAAGCAGCAAATAAATCTGCCTCCTTCAGGGAGCTTTGCCAAGCTAAGGGCATCTGTGGACAGTGGCACCCAGTGGAGAGGCCTGTGGAGAAGCAATCTTCGTGAAGCCCTATGTTTTACCCTCTGCATCTCACAGCCATCAGCGAGATAACACACGCAGAAAGAGAGCAGCCGCGTTCCATTTACACGACTCTGACTACCTCTGGCACAAATTATCTGCCAGTGCATCTTTTTGCTTCTACCCACCTCTGCCACCAAATGAGGAATCACTGTAAATTCCCCAGATGCATACACACCTGAGCAGAAGGCATTCACTGGCTAGCTTCTCTACACACACACACAACTAGGAATATGCTAGGTTATCTATTTATGCATTTATTTAATTAGCATACAAAGTAACAGATTTCCTTATGCCCTTCCATCCATACTTTGTTTTGACTGGCTCCCTCTTCCCATCCCCTCAGTCCACCCCCACTGTAGCCTTCCACTTCCAGTATTTCTCGTTCCATCTTCCATATCACATGGATTCTCGTTCCATATCACATGGATTCTATTACCCACGTATTTCCCTGTCTCAAAGCCTCTTTTCTCCTTTCTCCTGTATCATGGGCCATTTCTGTTATCTGGCCTCTACCTATACTCATTCATATATATATACATATATATGTATATGTATATATATGCAGCAATACGAAGGTAGAATACACCTAGGAGAGAGAACATGCTATGTTTGTTTTTGGAAGCCTGGCATGCCTTACTTAATATAAAAATGTCCACCTCCATTCATTTCCCTACAGATTTCATAATTTAGTTTTTCTTTGCAGGGTTTTACACTTTAAAAGTGATATGCCCTAAACTCATCACAGGATTATCTTTTAATGAAGCTCATGTATATTGTTTTACCTTTCGAAATAATGGCATGTTTCAGTACGATATTGTTGGCTACTGATGACTGGAAGGTTTTATAGCTGAATTTCCTCATGATTCTGGAGGGAGATCTAGAGGAGGTGGAAGCTCACAGAAGAATCCAGCAATGAGGGTCTTGCAGAAGGGAGTGTAGGGCAGTAGAGGAGAGAGGGAACGGGGAAGCAAGAAGGGATGAACACAGTCCCAGTGTGGCTGGTGCTTTGCACACAGAACCTTAGCTCCTTCAACAATCCCACTGAGTATTCATTCACATTTGCACCTAAACAAAAATAAAGTTAGGGCCCAGAGAGACCAGGCAATTTCTACAGCTAAATAAACAGTAACAACAAATAAAAACAATTAATGAGAGACTCAGGAAATGCCTCTGGCCAGTAAGACCCCAAAGTCCATTCACTTCCCATTGTCCCCCACTCCCCGTAACTGAATTGTCCAAGTACACCCAAGGAGTTCATGGTACAACCAGAAGCCATAAAATAACAGTCGCAGCTGAAAGGCATGGGCCAGAGCATGGGGAGTCAGACAGGATAGGATGGAAGACTTGCTACCAAACAGAGTCACGTCAAAAGAGTAACAGGAAATGGAACTTGTGGAAATGGATCCATACACCACCCAACTGCTTTCTTCCCTTTCCCACAGTTCTGCAGGCCTACAGGAGAAGATGTCTCTGCAGAAGCCTAAGCAAAATACCAAGATGAGAGAGGAGGAAAGGGGAGGTAAGACATATAAGATGGGTGTGGGACTCCTAAGGAGTCTTTTCTTTGTAAGTCATGGGCAGACGGCGCAGGCAGCAAGCTGACCTGTCTTGGAGCACAGACTCAAAACTACTGAACCTGGGCACTGTTGTGATACACAGGGTTTCAAGCAGCATGGTTATATAGAGCTGGAAGAATGCAGTGACACAGGAATGGTGCCTTGAGTTTTACTGACACACTCAAGTAAAAGAAGCTAGGATCACCAGTAGAAGAAGCTAGGGTCACCAGTCTCTGGATGGAAATTAGTACTGAAAAGTAAAGAGAGGGACTGGGGAGATGTCTCAGAGGTTAAGAGCACTTGGCTGCTCTTGCAGAGGAAATGAGTTTGATTCCCAGCACCCACATGGTGGCTGACAACTGTCCATAACTCCAGTTCCAGGGGATCTGACATCCTCTTCTGACCTCCACAGGCATTGCACAACATGGGTTCAGTTACACACATGCAGGCATCTTTACTCATACATGTAAA